CTAGGCCGCCAGCATCTAAGGGTGGCAGATGTCTGTGTGTGGGGGGGATGGGGGGAGACTATTTTTCATGTCCTTTTGCAGGGGTAAAACCAGGTGTCTCTAGTGGCCAGGAGTCTCTGACTCTGCAGGGCCCCAACAGCCGGCACTGGGGCAGCCCGAGGGCTTCAATCTACCAGGCTCATTCAGCCCTTCGGGACACCAACCCTCAGCAGCCCCCTCCCTCTATCAGCGCATAACGACCTTCATGAACCAGGGCTGGATTCCAACTGCGACTTGAGTTCCTATCAGTTCTGCCTGGAAGGGACCACGTGGCCCTCATCCAAAATCACTGTGTCAACGCTGTAATTCGTGGTGGCAAGTGAAGGGAAGTGACCCCTTTGCCTGTAGCTGTCTGGCTGTTACAGTCACACTCCTCGGCCTGGGGGAGCTGTAGTGTTTAGTTAATGCTCGGTGTGGAGGGACACAGCCCACACGGAAAACAAAGCTTCCTTCTCAACCATCCTCCTTTCAAGGCATTTTATTGACAATTCACATTTTTAACAGTCACTCTTTTCGGAAGCTAAGAGCCAGGAGGCCCTAGCCATGCCATCTGACAACATTTCACAGTAATGACAGGCTGACCACTCGTTTATCTACTTGGATCATCTAATCAAGCGTTTCCTGCAGCCCCTTCGGAAGAAGAAATCAGTATTAGGCACTGTACGGCAGGGCACTCGTGCAAGAGAGCTAGAGACAGAAGGCTAAGGGGATGGCGAGGAAAAATCAGATCAATTACACTGAAAAATATGTCATCTTAACAATCTAAAGTTATTGCTGGGTGAGCAGAGATTCGCATATGGCTCTTCAATCTTTTAGGCCAGCGACCTATAGCGGGGCAGGCCGCTTCCTCAGCCTCTTCTCTGTTTAAGCATCTCCATGTACATTTGGAGAGACTTTTGAATAGAGTCCTTGGAGATGAAACTGACAAAGTTCTGAATGTCAGATTCGCGGTGGGCGAGCAGGCGGTCCACCGTCGGCTTCCTCATCATGGACTTGGTGATCTGACGGGCGTGGTCTGTGAAACAGAGAGTTAGACTGTTGGTCGTGCGGGGGTCAGTGTACGTTACTGCCCGAGGTCTGCCTGTCAGCCGGAGGACCCCCGGGCGTAATTACCTTCCTGGGTAAAAACAAAGTGGGTCCTAGCACCCTCTTGATTCTAATGGGGAAAGGCAGAACAAGAACTAATAGCTGGAAGCGGAAGCCAGACAAAGGTGAATGGAAACAAGGCACAAATGTTTAACAGTGAGGGTGACTAAGCCCCATGGCAGCCTCCCCAGAGAAGTGGTGGATTCTCCGTCTCTCGGTGCCCCGACGCTGGGCTGGAGTCCTTTCAGGGAGACGCTTCTGTCAGCCACGTGCCGGACTCAGGGCAGGGGAAACCGGGTGAAATTCTCTGGCCTGTTCCATACAGGATATCAGCCTAGACAATCACAGTGGTCCCTTTCGGCCTTAAAAATCAATGCCCCCTGTCAACGCTATTTGACCCAAGTGGCACCATCAAGAACAAGCGTTAACTACCCCACCCCCAGGGGCCAGTCTCCGGGATCTGCTTCCAGATCAGCGGTCAAGCCAGTTTCCCAGCTGGGGAAAGTCAGCACTGCTCCGTGGACGTCAAGGCATCTGCACCAGGTGCGGGAGGACGCGGTTTCGACCACGGAGAATGCCATTACGTAGGTCTGAGGCCCGTCCCCGTCACGCTACGGACACCCCCTTCCAGCACAGCCGGTGTCTCGCATCAGCCGCTGCCATGCTCGCTGTGAGACCTGGGCTGGCAGGCGCTGTTGGGAACGTTAGGGATGTGACAGTGTAACCGGCTAACCAATGGGCATGAGCTCGGCAGTTAACGTTCACACAGGCTCCCCGCACGCACCAGCTCCCAGGGAGCCGACTGCTGCCCTGCCCTGAATTTTTCAGCAGTTACACTGTATCTTAATTACACGCATTTGAACAGCCCTAATGAACAAGACGTTACAGTCACAGAAACTCCCCGAAGCTGATCCCAGGTCACAGACATTCATCACGACGCTACCGCCCGCATCCCGGACGGGGGAGATCCTCGGGAGTACGGAGCGAGGGAGTGAGCGCTCGGGGGGGCAGAGATCAAACAGTCAGAGCGCAAAGCTTGCCTGCCACCTGTGCATAAACCAAACCCTGCAGCAGCGGCCACATGGCTGCCCCTCCCCTCTGTCCTCCCTGCTCTTCCCTCTAGACGCCACATTCTGCTCAAGCTTCCAAGCCATTCTTCCGCCAGCCTTCCCCCGCACTGACCCCTCTCCTATGGTCCGACGTGACTGGAACGCGATTGGCTCCCCAAACCAGAGTGGAACTAGCTTGTGCTGCACTGGATACCCCTCCCCAAACGTCCCCCTTCCCAGCCCCGGTGTCAGGCTGCGGGAATGGACAGCAATTAGGAGACGGTAATGAAATCAGTGTTCGCACAAGGGTCTGATGGTTCTCTTAAAGTCAGTCCATGCTAATTAGCTCGGCCAGCTGAGCAAGCACCGTCATTCTAGCGTGGTCGGCTAGAGACTGCATTTGTGCAACACGCGGTTCATTTTCTAGGGGCTTGTCCAAGAACAAAAATGGAAAAGAAACAGATCAGCTGCCCTCACCTACACTGGAGACGTGATAACCCACCAGTGCCCCTGTGTAGCACATACTCTAGGCCTGTGGTTCTCAATAGAGATACGTGTACCCGGGAGGGGTGTAGGGTAGGGTTCCCTGTAAGCTGGACACTTCTGTGGCCGCTCAAGAGAGATTCTAATGCTGCCCAGCTCATCAGTAGGGTGGCCACAGCTAGGTTTGTGTTTCTACTGGTGGTGCACATGCCCACATGCCTTGGTGCACATAAACATTTATTCTGCACATGAATAGAAAAAATCCACACATGGATGGAAAAGATTAGAGGGAACCTTAGTACACAGTAGTCTTCCGGATTTCATCAACCCATCTAGATATCTCTCTCTTATCTGCTTGATTTTGAGACACAGTCCCATTCCAGGCACATCCCATTGCACAGGTTCTGACAGCCAGCGTTCCCTATAAACTGGGCACTGGTGCCGCCGCTCAAGAGAGATTCTAATGCTGCCCAGATGATTAGCAGGGCACCCAAAGCCAGGTTTGTGTTTCTACTGGTGGTGCACATGCCCACATGCCTTGGTGCACATAAACATTTATTCTGCACGTGAACAGAAAAAATCCACACATGGCTGGAAAAGATTAGAGGGAACCTTAGTACACAGTGGTCTTCCGGATTACATCAACCCATCTAGATATCTGCCTGCTTTTACAACAGGCGCCAAACAAGCCCCAGCAAAGTCAGTACACACTGAAATTTCATATAGACCAGGCCTTGTTTCGACCGCCCTAGATGCTGCACACTGACCTGTAGGTGCAGTGTTTCTATTCCGTGGTAAAAACGAGAGCAGGAGCAACGTTGCAGTAGTCGGGGGCTGACACACGTTTGTAAGCAAGAACTTTTTTCAAGCAAGGCAAAACTGGGGTGTGGGGGTACAAATCAAACTCCTGAAGGGACCGTGGACAGCTGAGCACCACCCCGCACATGCATGTCAAGGAGCGGAGCGGGTACCGGGACAGTGCCCTCGTGTGGGGACTGTGAGATGTGCACCGGAGCCTCCAGGAAGCCAGACAAACGGGGCCTGGGGACTTGCTTCTCTCTGGGATGAGGGGCTGGGGACTGATGGGCATCCCGACACCCTCCCCACGCTGGGCGTGCAGGGTGAAGGGGCCAGGGAACCTGCCTGTCAGTTCCACATTGCAATGTCCTAATGTCTTAGCAGGCAAAGGAATGAGGATGGAAAGTGAGACCCAACGGTACGTTACACCCAGCTCTTGCATGGAAGGGGAGAGGGGCTGAGGGGCCCAGCCTTGGTTAGTTTCTCTCAGCCCATTCCCAAGTGTCAGGCATAGGCAGCACGCGTCTCCCAGGGGCTGGGCTCAGCTCTGTGTCAAATCCCCACCGTAGCGTTCAGACCCAAGACAGCACAGCACACGCTCCTCTCACAGGCTCACCTCAGCCCAGCACACGCTCCTCTCCCAGGCTCACCACAGCCCAGCACCCGCTCCTCTCACAGGCTCATCACAGCACAGCACACGCTTCTCTCACAGGCTCACCTCAGCCCAGCACACGCTCCTCTCCCAGGCTCACCACAGCCCAGCACCCGCTCCTCTCACAGGCTCATCACAGCACAGCACACGCTTCTCTCACAGGCTCACCTCAGCCCAGCACACGCTCCTCTCCCAGGCTCACCACAGCCCAGCACCCGCTCCTCTCACAGGCTCATCACAGCACAGCACACGCTTCTCTCACAGGCTCACCTCAGCCCAGCACACGCTCCTCTCCCAGGCTCACCACAGCCCAGCACCCGCTCCTCTCACAGGCTCATCACAGCACAGCACACGCTTCTCTCACAGGCTCACCTCAGCCCAGCACACGCTCCTCTCCCAGGCTCACCACAGCCCAGCACCCGCTCCTCTCACAGGCTCATCACAGCACAGCACACGCTTCTCTCACAGGCTCACCTCAGCCCAGCACACGCTCCTCTCCCAGGCTCACCACAGCCCAGCACCCGCTCCTCTCACAGGCTCATCACAGCACAGCACACGCTTCTCTCACAGGCTCACCTCAGCCCAGCACACGCTCCTCTCACAGGCTCACCTCGCGCTGAGTTGCAAACTGCCACCAACGCACGCGCCCCGTCACACAGCACTTGGAATTTCTTCCCCCTCCCCCGCCCACTGCCCTAGCCCAGCTGTGGCTCACTGGCGTCGCGGCAGGGCCAGCTGCGTGTGTGAACCCCATGCTAGCCAGGGGAGATGGCCTGCTGGCCACCACCCGAGGCATCTCAAGCCCAATATGCCCCCTGCACTGCCTTTCTTCCTGATCCCATGGGAGCCAACAGCAGCTTTGCCACTCATTTCAGTGGGGGCTGGCTCAGGCCATGAGCTTGGTCCAAAGACAGACTTGGGGTGGGGCCCACGAGTGCCAAATCCTGTGGGTATTTGGCACTGGATTCTCCCAGGGCTGCAGTGAAGCATTACAGGCCAATTCCCTGCGTCTCTTTGCCAGATATGGAGCTATACCATCTCACAGAGCTGGAAGGGACCTTGAGAGGTCATCGCGTCCAGTCCCCTGCCCTCACGGCAGGACCAAGTATCATCCCTGACAGATCTGCCCCAGATCCCTAAGTGGCCCACTCAAGGATTGAACTCACAACCCATGCTCAAAGCACTGAGCTATCCCTCCCCCCAGGGTATGCTAGTGGATCTAGTCCAATACTCTTCGGCCTCATTTTTTACCCATCTAGCATCCACATCATGGTGTTCAGATGAACAGGGGACTGTTAAGCCTCCCTCTCCGATTCCATCTCATTCCCCTCCACGGGCTCCCTGCTCTTGGACAGGCGCAGAGAGCAGCAGCAGCGTCCCGCAGCCAGACATCTCTTACCTGGAATAGCTAACCACTGAGACATCACGGCAGCAGCCGTGCTCTGGATCTTCTCTTCCGGTACCAGCTGATCTACCAGGCCTATTCTGTGGGCCTCCGCTGGGGAGTACAAGAGCCCCAGCTGGAGGGAGCGCTCCGTGGCCCGGTTTCCAATTGTGTTCACCATTGTATCCTTAAACCTATGGGAGAGGAGAAACTCTCAGCCAGGGGAAACGCTGAACAACCAGCCAGCGTGGAGAGAAGCATTTAGACCTCAAAGCAAAGAGCTGATGACCAGGAACGGCCCTGTCCTCCTTCCAGTCCCTTCTCAGAACCCACCTCCGCTGGGACGCCTTCAGACCACTCTGCAACTGGCAGGCAAGCCTCAGGGCTGCTTTGCAGATTGACTGGTACCTTGTGTGTCACCTTGTGGTTCAACTGTCCATAGCCACCCATTCTCTCAGCTTGTACTTTCACTGTATGCTCTGCAGGGCAGTGACTGTCTGTTACATGTACATACAACACCTCACACAATGGGCCTGGGACCTCCAGGTGCTACCCCCATACACATGACCTCTGTCCTGTCAGAGACGCTAGTGGCTCTGAAGACACCTTTCATAGCAGCATTGCTCCCTCCACCCCCAGATACACCTGTCTGATAACAGCGTAACCACCTGCTTACCAGAAAGGTGCAACAATCCCCAGCTGGGTTTCGTTCAGACCAATGCTGTACTTTGGGTTCTCAGCCAATATTCTGTAGTCACAGGACATGGCCATCAGACAGCCCCCTGCCGGGCTGGACCCCTGCCACAGGAAGGAAGAGATCAGGTCTAGCTAAGTCTCCGCAACGTGCATCCAGTTCTAAAATACTGCGAGAGGAGATGGGTAACAGCATCGGGGATACGGCTTTAAAGACATGTCCCTGTACATTGTCAGGGAGCATGGTCAGAGAAAAAGCCATTCAAACAATTCCTTCCATTTCAATTCTTCCCTCCTCCTCACTCCATTTATGCTGTGTGAACTTTCCCAGCGTGGGCCGGTCAATTTCATGCCTCTTCGTCATCAGTGTCACTGTCAGCTTCTCCAGCTCCAACCAGGCTGTCCTGTTGGGGTTACAAACTCTGCATGGGGGGTGGGGGGTTGTTTTTTTTAAACCCAAACTGTTTTTCCTAATGGAATCTATATGTAAAACCTGCCCTTGAGAACATACTTGACCCAACTGTGTCCCTTTTAAAAAGTCCTAGCCGCCTCTTTTCCTCGTACCTTCAGTCTCAGAAAGTCGAGCGCTCCTGCCAGTGTCAGCAGTTCTTTTGTGGACAAATCAAAGCGAGTGTCCAACCAATACACAGAAATCGCCTGTTCAATGACACACATTCAGGCTGCATTTCCCCCTTGGCCAAGAATCACCAGATGGGCCAAGAAACAACAGCCAATTCCTATGCATAAATTACTGCCAACACTAGCAGACATCTTAACTGCCCCTGCTGTGGGTCTAACACGATTGCTTTCTGCTCTCTTCCCCCCACAACGCCTGCCCTTGGGTTCATTCTCTCCAGCTACCGAGGCTGCTAAGGAGCTTGAAATAAAGAGGCTGCTAAGAAGGCTAGTGGGGTGCATGGGCAATCAGGTGAGTCTACATCTCACTAGGGACCCCTTCACATTTTTGTGTGGAGACTGAAATACACTCTCGCCCCCCGGACTCATCCTAGTGTTTGCACACAACACCTTATTCCAGTCTCGTCCCTGCCCCCACAGTACCCCGGGAAGTGACTGACAACCGAGAGCCTCCTACGAAGTCAGGTATGAAGCTGACTTGCATTGATAGCCGCTATTGTCACCAGGTTGGATTGGTACAGCCTGAGCCACATCTCCTGAACAGCTCTCCAGAACTCCGCATAGTGCTCCGTGCTCTTCCCGTACATCTCCATAATATCCAGACCAGCTGAGAAGATTTTAGGGGCACCCTAAGATGGGAGGGAATAGACAATTAATATGTAACAACTGACCTTTCAACCTGTGACCCACATAGTCATAGAATCATAGAATACTAGGACTGGAAGGGACCTCGAGAGGTCATTGAGTCCAGTCCCCTGCCCTCATGGCAGGACCAAATACTGTCCAGACCATCCCTGACAGACATTTATCTAACCTACTCTTAAATATCTCCAGAGATGGGGATTCCACAACCTCCCTGGGCAATTTATTCCAGTGTTTGACCACCCTGACAGTTAGGAACTTTTTCCTAACGTCCAAAGAAGAGGGGAAGTATAAAACTATGGTACGCCATATTTCAGTACTGTGTACAGTTGTGGTCTCCTAACCTCAAAAAAGATATTTTGGCCTTGGAAAGGGTTCAGAAAAAGGCAACTACAATGATTAGGGGTTTGGAACAGATCCCATATGAAGAGAGGCTAAAGAGACTGGGACTTTTAAGCTTAGAAAAGAGGAGACTGAGGGGGGATATGATAGAGGTCTATACATCTTTCTTGAAATGCGGTGCCCAGAACTGGACACAATACTCCAATTGAAGCCTAACCAGTGCAGAGTAGAGCAGAAGAATGACTTCCCGTGTCTTGCTCACAACACACCTGTTAATGCATCCCAGAATCATGTTTGCTTTCTTAGCAACAGCATCACACTGCTGACTCATATTCAACTTGTGGTCCACTATGACCCCTAGATCCCTTTCTGCCGTACTCCTTCCCAGACAGTCGCTTCTCATTCTGTATGTATGAAACTGATTGTTCCTTCCTAAGTGGAGCACTTTGCATTTGTCTTTATTAAACTTCATCCTATTTACCTCAGACCATTTCTCAAATTTGTCCAGGTCATTTTGTATTATGACCCTATCCTCAAGATTAGTCGCAACCCCTCCCAGCTTGGTATCATCTGCAAACTTAATAAGCATACTTTCTATGCCAATATCTAAATCGTTGATGAAGATATTGAACAGAGCCGGTCCCAAAACAGACCCCTGCGGAACCCCACTTGTTATGCCTTTCCAGCAGGACTGTGAACCATTAATAACTACTCTCTGAGTACGGTTATCCAGCCAGTTATGCACCACCTGATAGTAGCCCCATCTAAGTTGTAATTACCTAGTTTATTGATAAGAATATCATGCGAGACCGTATCAAACACCTTACTAAAGTCTAGGTACTAAAGTCATCCACCGCTTCTCCTTTATCCACAAGACTCGTTATCCTATTAAAGAAAGCTATCAGATTGGTTTGACATGATTTGTTCTTTGTTCTTTTGTTTCCCTTTATTCCCGTAGCTTGTTTGAGCTCATTCTGTGCCTTTGCCTTTCTAATCTTGCCCCTGCATTCCTGTGCTGTTTCCCTATATTCATCCTTTGTAATTTGTCCTACTTTCCATTTTTTATAGGACTCCTTTTTTATTTTTAGATCATGCAAGATCTCGTGGTTAAGCCAAGGTGGTCTTTTGCCATATTTTCTATCTTTCCGACACAGCGGAATAGTTTGTTTTTGGGCCCTTAACAATGTCCTTTTGAAAAACTGCCAATTCTCCTCAGTTGTTTTTCCCCTCGGTCTCGATTCCCATGGGACCTTACCTATCAGCTCTCTGAGCTTACCAAAATCTGCCTTCCTGAAATCCATTGTCTCTATTATGCTGTTCTCCTTTCTACCCTTCCTTAGAATTGTGAACTCTATGATTTCATGATCACTTTCACCCAAGCTGCCTTCCACTTTCAAATTCTCAACTAGTACCTCCCTATTTGTTAGGATCAAATCTAGAACAGCTAGTTAGGCAGAACCTGACCTGATCATGTGTGTAAAGACTGTGCATGCAAATATTTTTACAAAAGTCCTAAGAGGTACGTTAATGGATAACTCAAAGGCTATTACCAGCAAGTAAAACAACAAAGGGGGAAAGGAAAAGGAAATGCATTTCTTTGTAATCATTATTTTTTACTTAGCAACACTTGTGGCTTATTTCTAATTTGATGCCAGAAAATGCCAAGGGATTTCTCAAGAGAGAGGAAAGAACATTCTCCTCCCAGATCAGCTGGTTTTGGCGCCTGTTATATTTCCTTCCATCCCTGAGGGCCCTGTAGCAATGATCTGAGAGGGGGTGTCCCCACGCCATGCTCTGATCCCCCCTGGTCTGGTTGCTAGAGAGCAGTGTGGCTAAGCATGCAGCAAAGGAACACACCGGGTCCAGCACTCACCGCCTATCCATTGCACCCCCGAGACAGCCCCGTAAAACGTATCCTCCTTTCAGTGCAACACATACCGACGTCAAAATGATGCCTCTGCAGCTTCGGTCATTCTCCAGTTTCTCCAGGCTGATTACGAACTCTGTCAGGAAGTCCAGGCTCAGGCTGTTCACAGGAGGGTTCTCCATCTTCATCACAGCCACCCCTGCGCCGTGGAAAGCAGAGGAGTTAGAACCCACCCGAGCCGACCGTGTCTGCCAGGCTGCTGATTAGCACACTCCAGATCTCGGAACGTTCCCGAGACCAGACTAGATCAGGTCTCAACGCTGGAGTGGGAATTTCCCCCATCAGATTAGCTGAGTCTTTGGGTGTGGGGTTTGCCTTTCTCTGCAGCCTGGGTCACTTGCAGGTTTCAGTTAGTGAGAATGGTGGATTCTCTGGAATTTGAAGTCTGATTTGAGGACTTCAGGGATCTATTGTCAGAGCGGGTGGGTGAGGTTCTGGGGCAACCCCCTCGGGGTTCTGTGTGTGGCCTGCGAGGCATTTTGTTTCCTGTTGCCCATGTGCAGGGTTGCCAAATTCCACTGGTTTCCGGCAGCCGAGTTTTTTCCCTACTGGTATTGCTAAAGTGACACACACGTAAAGCCAGGGCCTGTGGAATGGTGATTGCACACAGCATTGACTGAGAGAGCCATGCGCTCCCTCTGCATCCAGTCAAAGCACTGCTAACAGTTCAATCGAGACACCCTGCAAATTCTAGGTACACCAGCACAGTTGGCAAAACTACTCCATCCCTAGAGACTGTCTTGGGTATGACAATCTTGGGGCCCACTGAGATGAAGGAGGGCCACCCACGCGGCTCGTTCACTAGCCCAGGTTGCCCATCGCGGTGCTAGATGATTGTGATGGTCCCTTCTGGCTGTAAAGTCATTTTGTACCTTGGACCATGCCAGTTTACGTAACTACGTCACTGGATTTTCTCCATCCACATCATGCCTGTCAGGGTATCTGGCATCCCTCTAGCTGCTTCCATGCAAAGATCTGTGCATGCCACTAATATTATTTTAGCCTCCCAACACCCTGTGAAACATTGTTCCCTGCCTGCAGATGGGAGCTGGGGCACAGAAAGACAGAAAGCCCTAGTCAGTGTGGCAAAACCTTGTTCCCGATTGCCTCTGGAAGAACCCCCTGAAATACAGCTGAATCACACTAACAAGAGGAGAAATAGGGTGTTTTTAAATGGCTCGTACTCTGGCAGCTACCGCCAAAAGGAGTAAACAGTGCATCCTGTTGTTTCAAGCAGGTGAAACTAGCAACAGCCCACCCTAGAACACCTACTCAATGTTCTGCCTGTACCACTAGCTCCCCACTGACATCAGTGGAATCGGGGAGCAGGATCAAGGCCCCTATGTCACTGAGACTGGTGTGGCTGATTCGAGAGGGCTAGCACAGATCCGGCGGGGGCTGGAGTGGAGAGGCTAGCTTTTTCTTGTAAATATTGTTCCCTTGATCACAGTCCCATTCCACTGACAGAGGTATCCGAGTGGGACTGGTGGTGTGCACATAGGGAAGGGACAGGCACTGTGTACGTTAGATTGTTTGGGGTGTGTTTGTGAAGACCACTATGGCAAGCTGTGATAGGACTGAAGGTCTATTCCTGCAACCAGATACGTGTTCATGCAGAAGCCTCTAGGCCTAAGTCACTGCAGGAGACAAAGTCACATTCATGTTAAAACAATCACAGAAGCTTTTCCAAGTGTCCCCACCTTCTACTGCAGGTATCATGCATGGCTCTGTAACACCAACCCTAGCACACTGTTTACACACACAGACAGACCCCAGAGCACTGTATGCATGCGCACACATACACACACTCCTGCGTGCCATACACACACACAGAACCCAGTATTGTACATGTACAAAACCATATCCCACAGTACCATATATGTAAAGAAGCACACCCTAGCATACCATACAGACACAGATATGCACACATACAGTACACATACACGCAGAGCCCAGCACACTGTATATACACCCACACCAGGATGCTGTATATACTGTACACACATGACAAACTGTACACACATCCCTACACCCCCAGTGTGCTGTGCACATACACACACTGCAGAATACTGTACACATGCATACAGAGCCTGCACCCAGTATATACCCCATACACACGGCTGTACACACAGAGCCCAGCATGCTGTATACACACATGCAACGCCAGCAGGCTGTACATATATACACTGCACACATACACACACAGAGCCCAGTATGATGTACACATACACACACACAGGCAGGCGTGCAGCATACATGTACACACACACTAGCATGCTGTACACAGCCACACACACACAAAGCCCAGCATGTTGTACACACACAAACACACCAGCAGGTAGTACATACACCAGCAGGCTGTGTACACACACGTGACATGCTGTAAATGTACACACACAACACGCTGTACACGTGACACACATCACATTGTACACATATGTGACACGGTGTGCACATACACACGGCACGCGGTACACACACACACGGCACATGCTGTACACGTACACACACGCTGTACATGCATGTACGCACACACTGTACATGTACACACACACTGTACACGCATGCACACACACTGTACACGCATGCGCACACACTGTACACGTACACACACACATGCTGTACACACACACACGCAGTACACGTACACACACACACGCAGTACACGTGCACACTCACTGTACACACACACGCTGTACACGCATGCGCGCGCACACACACACACGCACACACACACACACACTGTACACGTACACACACACATGCTGTACACACACACACGCAGTACACGTACACACACACACGCAGTACACGTGCACACTCACTGTACACACACACGCTGTACACGCATGCGCGCGCACACACACACACGCACACACACACACACACGCTGTACACGCGCACACACTCCCCCCTCACCGGTGCTGCCGTCCAGCTCCACCGCCACCCGGCCGTGCCCCATCGCTCCG